TTGTTTAATATTTATCGACTATCGCGTGCGACCCCGTTGCCACCTCCGCGCGGCGCGGGCCCGGGATCCGACCCACCGATTCAATTAGGATTCGTGACGGCGCGTCCGCGGTTCACGGGAAAATATTTGAATACGACTCGCCGTGATTGCCCGGCCGATTGTCCTACTCCTTGTCAACGATTTCGTGCGTTTTTCATCGTTGATCCTTCGTCTTCGTCGGGACTCGTTGGAGTTTTAGACGAACGACGGAGGAATGAGGAATTTGTATAGGCGGTTTGGGAGGAATATTGTATAGGTAGTTTATTGGTTACTTGTTGGTTACTTTAGGTTTGAATTTGTGGATGACGAAGGTTTTACGAAGTTTGATTTAATTATGGAATTATGTGGCGCATGAAAAATTGATTGCAAAGGTGTTGATAGAGTTCCTAATTGTTTCTGGTGTCTTGGAATCTTTCCGTGAATACTACGTACACTTTGTTGGCGTGAGGTTCGTTTTTAGTCGTGGATGCCTCCAATTCTGTAGGGGTAAGTAGATTAAAAAAGGTTCCGTAATGATTGTAATAAAGTTAGCTCCGATAGCGGAGCGACATAGGTGTGTCGGGTATGTATTAGAGAGGTGTTGGCAGCGGACATAAAATTAGACGTTACAACGTGAAATTAGAAAAACCGGTGTCCCGAAGCAGCTGTTTTTCTGGTGCTCATTTACCAACATGTAGTACTAAAGGAAAATGTAGTTGCAAGGATAAAAGCCCCGTGCTTGAAGGGCTTAAACAATTAAACGCCCGGATCCTGATGCATTTATAACGTAAGCCACTGTCTAAGCAAACGGCGTCGGCTCGCAATAAAAACTTTTACGAGTATTTTGTTACTCTTTCCCATCGTTTTTCCGACGAGCGTTCCCCCCTTTTTTCCCGTATCGCCGGCAGATCTATATATTCGCGGCGCTACCGATGATTGTTTATCCGTCAATTTCTGCCTGGGCCTTTTTTGCCGGCCAATGAAAGGTTGTAGCGGAGCGCCGGATGCAGAAAACGTTTTGCCCTATCGTATTTAATCTGTACTTTCAATCGCCATCAGTGTCCAGTTTTATACTGCTTTCGCCGCGTCGCTGTCGGACAATTACGGGATTCACGAGAATTTCCGAGGGCTCGGCGAATAATCCACATAATAAATTTACAGAAACCACTGTCTCAAATCATTTTAATTATCCTAATTACCGCTGCTTGTCCGGTAGACTGCGCGTTCGCGTTACTATCTCCTCGAAACTAAAAACACGTGGAATTTTATGATCAAACCGGATTGTCTGCGCGGCGAGATCGTAATGGAAACTAGTTTGAAAATCCGACTTGTCCGTAAACGTTCCAGCGACGCGAAAGGTTCCACGCCGGTACTCTATCGAATCTCACGAATTATTCCGATGAATTTTCGACTCGTCGCCTGTCCTAGCGAATAAATCCGTTCCGTCGGACGAGAGCTTCTCTCTCGCGGCACCGACGATTTTCCCGTTCGATCGACCGTGGATTTCGATCGTTCGCGTCCGTCGTCGCGTCCGTTTGTCGGGTGGTCCGCCGACATCCGCGTACGTCACTGCGCCGCGATATCTAATGAGGCTATTAACACGCGCTGCACCACCGAAGAAACTCCGCCGAGCGTTTATGACATCCGATGACCTACCTAGGCGGCTTCTATCACGGCACCGCCGCGCGATCGCCTTGAGTGAGACATTTTCCAGCTCCGGCTAAGTCGATCCTGCCCCCGGTCTAGCATCTGCTACCGTCCGCGGACGTGTCATTAAAACTTCCTGGTTTTTGCGCGGCGACCCCGTCACAGCGGCGCGTTTCGCGACTTCTCGAAACTTCGAGCTTCTCGACGATCGCCACCAATTCCTCTTCGAGCTCTCGTTTCGCGCTTCCTCGACGGAATCCCGGATCATAGAACGTTCGGGGAACAACGAAATATCTTTCCCATCTAATTGTTCTATACACTTTTCCATGAATCTGCTCGTAGTCCAGCAGAATACGCAAGCATTACAAAATGCATCCAAGGATATCAAATTCAGTAACATAAAGCGTAACGCATAATATACAGTAACACCTTGCCTTATATCACGCGGATCTCGCGGAGAATTCAAACGGAATTTAATAAATACGAGTATCCCTCGCTTCTTATGATTCCAAATTCAATGCTATTCATCTCTCATCTATCATTATGCTCTGAACTAAACGTAGTCACGAAACGAAGATAAAATTCCTTCTTTCTCCTACTAAACTATCAACCATAAAGCGGTCTTAACGAGCCGAATCACGGAAGAGATAATACTCCGAGGGGTTAACGAACGAAAGAAACTTCCGCGTCAACCCAATAAATCTCCCTCTTCCAAAAAATAACCAACGAAATATTCAGAAGACGCGATAGAGACGTTTCTTCCAGGAAAAGGAAGACCGTCCATCCGGGACGCCTGTGCTCCGCTGGAACGCGGGGAGGAATTTCTTTCCAATGTTTCATTATTCGATACTAGATAAAGATATATCCCGCTATAATTGATCCAATCCTTCAGCGAGCAATTATCCCCGTCGACGCGCAAATTGCCAACAGTTTCGCGGCCGACGGAATTACTTAACGGCGCGGCGGCGGCGGCGGGGCTGCGGGGGAAGGAACTCTATTAGACGGCCGCGGCGGACCTCCCCCGTCCGCCGCGGGGATGAATTATCGCGTATGCAAATTGAAAAAGATAATGGGCACGGTTGCGCGCTAGTGTCATTCCGATCGGC